CTATAAGGCGTTAATCTTTATGGAGGCAGTCTGCCACATCTTTCTCCTTTGGAACAGCTGGTGGAATCTAACCATCCACCTTACACTTAGCAGCTGACTGCTTTAACCACTGTAGCACCAGACCTCCTTTCAATTTGTAGGTAGTAGAGCCATAACCTGTACCCTGCTCTCCCTGGTTTCCTGCCACTTCTGTTGACCATACTGCCTCAGAGAAACCAGATGTTACTTAAGAATAGAACCTTCAACATATTAGGCAAATGGAGGGACATTACTAAAATTTTTTCTTGAATATCCAGAATTTTTCAAAACAGAATTATTCAAAATCAGAAATCTCCGATATATTTAAGCATTGCATTTTAAGTTATAATAATTTGATCAGGATGTCCGTAACAGACAATGGTTTGGGGGCAATGTTGCTGCTAATGATTCAGGAAGTTTTCCCTTCAATGCTGACTATTAGTGACCCCATGGATGTCCGAGTAGAATTCTACTCAGAACAGAAGGATTTTCTGTGGTTGTTTTCTTTTTTGAAAGTAGATCACCGTTCTTTTCTTTTGAGGCACCAATGGATGGGTTTGATCTGCCAACCTTTTAGTTAACAGCTGAGTGTATGAATTATTTATATCAGCCAGGGATTCTCCCATCTAGCCTATCTCCTGCTTTCTTCTCTCCCAGTAGATGTGAGACTCCAATGTGGTCTCTTAGTAGTGAGAAGTTGTGGGCTTCTAAAGGAGAGAAAATTCATGGATGCTGGCCAGAAAACCAAGAGCATGAAAGGACTGTGGGACACTTTCTACAGAAATTCCAACACACCAGCGCTATTAGGTCCAGGCCCTTAGTCATTGTTTTAGTGTTTCCTATGTGCCCAGAAATCTACCAGGACCTGCGGGACTCTCCAAATGATTCCAAATAATACTCATCATGGTGAGGGTTAGAACAGACCCCAGTTTTCTGTCTGCTTCCCCGTGGAAGGAAGAGCAGGCCCAGTCGATGAGGTCCCATGCATCTGGGAATGTGTGACTTCCCTGACCTTCTGCAATGGCAGGCCTCCATTCAGAGACCTGGTGGGTAGTAGGGGGTTCCGCTTACAACAGAATTTTTCAAAATTGTTCCTCCTTTTCTCTTTTAAAAAGACAAGGTGCCTAACATACCACATGATGATGGTCAATAACCTCAGGCCCTCTCTTGGTTGAATATGTAGCTTATATCTTCAGAAACGGTATGCTCTTAAAACTATATGAGTAGGTATATATGCAGATAAGATTGTATGTGCTGAGCAAAAGAAACTCCAACAGCCATGACCAAGCCTAAGGAAAGTCTAGAGGAATTTGGGAAAGACTTATTATTGGGCTATGTTATGAATTAATTGTGTCCCTCAAAAAGATATGTTCAAGTCTTAACGCCCCCAGTCAATGAGAGGACCTAGTTTGGAAATAGGGTCTTTGAAGATGTGATCAGTTAGGTTAATATGAAGCCAAGCTGGAGTAGGGTGGGACCTAATCCTATTTGATTAGTGTCCTGGTAAAAAAGAGGGGAAGAGACACAGACCCATTGGGAAGATGGCCACGTAAAGATACATGCAGAGGGTAGAGCTATGCATCTTCATGCAAGTAATGCCAGAAACCACCAGAAGCAAGAGGCAAATAATCCTCCCCCCAGAACCTTCAGAAAGAGCATGGCTTTGCCAACTCTCATAGTCCTGGAGACCAGAAGTTTGGTTTCAGACTTCTGGTCTCCAGGACTATGAGAGAATAACTTTCTGTTGTTTTCAGCCACCCAGTTTGTGATACTTTTTTTTTTTTCTTTATAGCAGCCTCAGGAAACTCACACAGGCTTGAAAGGTCTTTGTACTTGGCCATGCCATGTGTTGTATTTTCGATTGCCAGTTCCCAAAGCAATTGGGCTTTCAGGGAAGGACATGGGGAGAAATTCCGGGAAGTTTGTAGGTGGGACTCGGAGAGAGGTAGTCATCTCCCATCTGGTTTACTTTAACTCTTTCTCTTTGGTCTAACTGCATCCAACCGTCTGTTGGGTCAGCTGCCCAAGGAGAGTATTCCTGGCTGGTTCTTTGGGCCAAATTGTTCCTCTCTGAGGAGAACCAACTCTCTGGTGGCTGCCCACAGCTGCCCACATCAAACTCTGTCTCCTGCCCCGTCTCCTCTGGTCAGCTACTGTTTTTAGTTCACCTAAAAGTCCCTCTGGGATGTCGGAAATGAAGCAGCTCCCTCATTACTCATGTTCCTGTGATGGAGCCAAATTAGCTGTCTGTCCTGCGTCCTCTTTGCCCAGACTCCAAGTATTTCCAGTTTTCTTCAGGGACTAGAATTCTTCTTGCATACAGGATACAGGTTCTACCTCCTTGGTGGAAAGCATTTATCAGAATCAGACAAGGGATGCCTGGGATGTTACCAGTTTGCTAACAAAAGAAGTCCTCCCAAACACAAAAACCAAACAACTCCCAAACCAGTTTTTGTTGAGTAGACTCCAACCCCAGGTGTGTTAGAGTAGAATTGTACTCCTTAGGGTTTCAATAACTGACTTACAGAAATACTGAGATGCCTTAGATGCACTTGAACTTCTCATTTATCAGTTAACAGCCAAATGCATTAACCGTTAGCACCACCCAGGGAGATAGCTTCTCCACTTTCCCCCATTTTTTCTGTTTTTAATCATCTGTATACTTGACAGAATGTGTTTGCTCTTAAGGTCCATGTAGTGTTTTCTCAGAAAGAACTATAGAGCCCAGAGAATGGGGATTCAAGGTACTAGGTGTGTGACCTGCTCTGATGGGAAGGAGAGGGCAGTGTGTTGAGAAGACCCAGGTCAGAGGAGCATGGAAAGCCACCAAGAATATCACAACAGCAATGCCAGGGGCAGTTCAAACCCACCAACCACTCCTCAGAAACCCTATAGAAGTCAGAAATGCTAAGGAGTCAGAAAAGACTCGACGGGACTTAACAACAAGGCCGCAGTGGTCAGAGAGTAGTTTAATGGAAGTGTGGATGGTACCCCTTACATATAATGCCAGCTTATTGTTGGAGAGGGCACTTGTCTGAAGTAAAACGTGCCAAATGAAATGAAGAAAAGTAGTTTTCAAAAAGTACCAAATGAAGTTATAAGTATTTTCCTCACAAATTCTGAATGGAGTAAGTGTGGAAGGAATAAGTGTGAAAGGCTGTATTTTAAAGAAGATATGTGGTGACGAGGCGAGTTCTTGGGTGGTGCAAATGGTCAATGCACTCGGCTACTAACTGAAAGATTGGAGGTTCAAGTCCACTCAGAGGTGCTTGAGAAGGAAGGTCTGACAGTCTGTTGTTGTTAAGTGCCATTGAGTCAGTTTCAACCCATAGAGACCCTGTGTAGAGTTTCCAAGGGATGGCTGGTGGGTTTGAACTGCCTACCTTGCAGTTCATACTGATCTTGCAGTCCAGCGCATTATCTTGAAGCACCACAAGGTTTGACAGTCTACTTCTGGAAAAAAATCAACCACTGAAAATCCTATGGGGTACAGTTCTACTCTGACACATATGGATAGGAGTCAATTCAGTGGTAACTAGAGACTCCTTGGATGGTAAGAACAGTTAATAAGCTGAGCTGCTAACCAATACGTTGAAGTCAGCCCAGAGGTACCACAGAAAAAAGGGCTGGCAATCTACTTCCAAAAAATCAGCCATTGGAGCACAGTTCTATTCTGACATACGTGGGGTTGCCATGAGTTGGAATAGACTTGATGACAACCGGTTTTGGTGGTGAAGAGAAACAGCCATCCCTCACAGTAGTATTTGTACTCGTACAACTCAGCTACACTACTATGATGAGGAGGGGGTGGAGGGCCCTGGATGGCCCAAGCTGAATGATCAACATTCTCAAATCCCAAAGCCAGTACCAGCTCTAAGCAGAATTTTGTGGGACATGTGCCCTTAGTGTTTATCTTTTGAATACTATCATCATAAGTGCTCAAAGAGTTGAATCTGAAAGGCAAACATACAATTCTGTGTTATCTTCACTGGAAACAAAAGACACTCTGATCCCTCAAACTGCTTACTTTGATTTTATCAAGCATGTACACATACAAAAATTTCTCCCGTAGGCTGAGAACCCTGCAGAGAAACTTTAGCCCAACATCTAATTAGCCTGAGAGAATTATCAGCAGTGGAAAATAAAACTTTATAGATAAAACATCTCAATTATCACGATGGTGTCAGTTATTCAGTCCTAATAAATGTGCATTTATCCCATCATCTCATCTGGTTAATGAATCTGACCAAATGATACTCTCATTATTGCTCAATCATGAGATGGTGTGTCTTTGCCTAGACTTTTGCTGGCACATCCTAGCACTGAAGCACATTAAAGTCATAAAATTAGGCAGCAAAGCGTCCTCGTCACTCCCACCATGTTCCTGTAACCCCCTCATTTACAACAGATGGAGACAGAAACATTTTTTAGAGCAATTTAAGATGAGGCAACACTGGATATGTAAGTCCTGTTTTATTGGCCGTCGTGGCAGCCAGCTAATTCTTCTGAGATGCCAAACAACCTTCCAACCAATTGCCATGCTGGGTTGGATGGGGCGCTTCAGTTTCACGGCCACATGGCAGGCAGGGTGTGTGTGTGTGTGTGTGTGTGTGTACAATAGCCACTTTCATAACTGCCCTCTAAACTGTGGGCGCTGTCGACATGCCATTGTACCACTTTCAACCAGATGTTTGGTCCCAGCCGCTAAGGCATTTTAAGTGTTTTAAGTCTGGTAACAAAGGCAGTATTTTCTATTATTATTATTTTTAAAAACGTATCACTCCCACCCTTTTAAAGAAGTATCTGGCGGGAGTCAGGAAATGGAGAGAAGAACAATTTTAAAGGGAAATACTGAATTGATGTTACCCACTCTGAAACTGCGCAAGAGACAGAGCAAGGTAGAGAGTCCTGTGCTATATAACGATTCTGCAGATGCCAGGGCTGGCATCGGCTGGCTGCGGGAGAGAGGCCCGTTCCCAGACATAGAGCTCTTTGTCAAGGTGAGCTTTATCAGGACACCCAGCCTTGGAGGGGGAGAACACACTGGGCTCAGCAGGGATTTTGCTGCATTCAGACTGAGTTATACCAGGATCCCAAAGGTTAGAGAGACAAGCGTGAGAGAGAAATACAAAACAATCACAACCCTCCGCAGTCTTATTTTTGTCTTTACTGTGCTTAGTGTAACTCCTACGAAAATAAGAGGTTTAAAAGCTACAGAGCAAGTCAGGACTGGCTGAAATATGTGGCTTTGTGTCCCTGTGCTTACCCACCCCCCTCCTTTACTTGGTCTGACTTTGCCCAAACCTGCAGGAGTTGAGAAAGTCCTGTGATTGAAGAGGGTTCCCAAGCAGAAGACCACTGGGGCGCTTCTACCATCTTAGATCTGTTATTTAGCCCCAGAACAAGAGGGAGGAGGAGATAGGGCATCCTCACCTAAGGGAGAGTGGCCTGTGTCTGCACTTCATTGAACTGTAGACTCCTTAGAGTTAGGACTCCTTAGAGTCTGATTTCACAAGGGCTCAGCATCATCTGAAGGTGACGAAACCCCAAGGTGAAGGACAGCCTTAGAGAGGATGGAGCAATTTCAGGGCCATCTGCAGGGAAGTTGTAGGACTGCTTGGATATATGTTGTTGTTGTTGTTTTGTGCCGTGGAGTTGGTTCTGACTCATAGCGATCTTGTACAGGGTTTCCAAGACTGTAAATCTTTACGGGAGCAGAAAGCCTCATCTTTCTTCCATGGAGCAGCTGGTAGTTTCGAACTACTGACCCTGAGGATAGCAGCCCGATTCATAACCACTACTCCATGCTATACACTTCCCTACCCCTCAGCCCTCCAACAATTTTACAGGCTCCAGGTGGGGGGATTCTCAGACCCTCCACTATAGTAGACAGAGAGGCAAAGGGTGAGTTGGAGGAGCTGGGGTGTGGGGTTGGTGGAAAGCCTGGGCTCAAAGCACGTTGTTAGTTGTCCTCCAGATGATCCCAACTTATGATGACCCTTATGCACAATGGAACAAATTGTTATCCTTCTTTGCACCATCTCCATGGGGGACTGTTGAGGTATATTGGTGAGAACTCTACCACTGAATGAAAAATGCCTCAGGCCCAGAGTTAAGGGACTCTGAATTCAGCTATCTGGGTCTATTGATACCCCTTTGTTAAGTCTGCCGATTAGCTCCATAAACATGGAGTTGTGTTTATCAATTGGGAAGTCTTGCAAATCCTCTTATGGGCAGATCATTCAACTGGGAGTTCACACAGATCGATCATAGCCATTGATAATGATACTGGTACACCAAGCTTTATCTTTGCCCAAGGGTGGGCTAAGGCCAGGCTTCTCAAGATTGTGACCTTGGACCACCAGCATCACCTCACCTTGGGGAGCTGGATAAAATTCAGATTCCTGGGCCCCATGCAGGAACTATGGAAACAGAATTATTATATATATATATGGAGCTCTGGTAGCATAGTGGTTACGAATCAGGCTGCGAACCTTAAGGTCAGTGGTTCGAAACTACCAGCTGCTCCGTGGGAGAAAGACGAGCCTTTCTACTCCCGTAAAGATTTACACCCTCGGAAACCCTGTACAGGGTCGCTATGGGTCGGAACCGACTTGACAGCACTTAACAACAACAACTATATATATATATATTACAAAACTAAGTTAAAAATATATATATGCATATATATTTTTAAACTTATTTTTGTAATGAGGTATAGCTTATATTCAGGTAAGTGCTCAAACCTTAAGAATCCGTGAAGCAAATACACCCATGTAACTACCACTCAGCTTAATATATAGAACATCTCCACAGCTCCAGACAGTTCCCATCTTCCAGGGCAACTTCTGTTTCGACTTCCACTAGTGAAATTTGCTGCATTTTAACTTCATCTACATTGAATTATAGAAGACTTTGGGTTTGGTTTCTTCCAGCACTGTTGTAGGCTGCCATCTGGTTAATTTCTGACTCATAGTGACCCCATGTGACAGAGTAGAGCTACCCCAAAAGATTTTCTAGGCAGTGATCTTTATGGGGACAGATGGTCCTGTCTTTTCCCCAAGGAACTGACATTTCGTTGAGCAGATAGGCACTTGATCTTTATGCCATCAAGACTCACTCCTTTTAGCATGATGTATGTGAGAATTATCCATATTATTAATATTTATAGTAGCTAATTATTTGTCATTGTGGTATAGTATCCTACCTTATGACTATGTAACTACTTGTTTATTCATCTTACTCATCCATGGCTGTTTGGGTTGTGCAGGTTTGGGCTATTACAGTATAGGTGCTATGAGAATTTGTGTAGGTGCCTTTTGGTGGCCATAAGCACTCATTTCTGTTGGGATTAGAATTACTGTCATAGAGTAAATGTATGTTTAACATTGGTAGATAACTCCCAGGTTGTTGTTATTGTTAAGTGTTCTGACCCATAGCGACCCTGTATAGGGGTTTCCAAGGAGCAGCTGGTGAGCTTGAACCACCGACCTTGCAGTTCAAATGGCTTTGCAGTCTGGCGCATTAACCCACAACGCCACATCAGGACTCCAACTCCCAGGTGGCTGTACCAATATAACAGCAATGAATGGACAGCTGCTCTGTCCACACTTGGTATTGTCAGACCTTTTAATGCAGCCATTATAGTAGGTATGCTTTGGTATCTTCTTGTGGTTTTAATTTGCATTGCCCTGCTGATTAAGGATGTTAAGAAACTTTTCAGCTGTTATTGACCACTTGGCTTTTCTTGTTCATGAAGAGTCTGATCAAGTCTCTTTAAAATTAGGTTGTCAGTTTTTGTATCCTATTCATTTGTGGGAACATCTTTATGTTAGTGATGATCTCTCCAGAAGACTCTGAAGACCACTGACATCAGAGAACCAGCTCTCTGAAGGGTCTCTTTAGGTTGTTCGATTTCCTTGAGCCATCTTTTTACTTTCCTTCAGTTCCCAAGAAAGCAGCTCACTGTTGCTTTGCATGCTTTTGTTATTCCGATTACAGGTAGATTGTGTTTTTCTCAACTTCCTTTAATGACGCACAGCAGAAATGGACTTCGAGTGCTGTGTCATGAAGTCTGGCTGAGCCACCTCCTTGCTTTTTCAGTGGCGTTTTATGAGCATAACCTTTGTAAAGATTTGTAGAGTGAGGATATATAGGATGAGAAAGAAGTGCTTTGGAACTTCTTTTGTTAGCTTTGATTCCACCAATCCATTTGCTAGGAGTTGCAAAGCCATGACATGTTTCCCAGGGTTACTGTAAAAAGTATCAGCAATTGGGTGCCTTTGAGAACAGAACTTTTTTGTCTCACAGTTCTGGAGGTTAGGAGTCTGAAGTCAGGGTATTGGTTGTGTTGATTTCTTCTGGGGGCTCTGAGGGAGAATCGGTTCAATATTACTCTGATCCTTGACTGGTAGACACACCACTTTAATCTCTGTCTCCATCTTCACATGGCTGTCTTCTGTCTGTGTTTTTCTGTCTCATTGTCTCTTCTCCTCTTGTATAAGGGCACAATACAAATTCTTGTATTGAATTTGGCTTCACCCTACTTCAGTATGACCTCTGTTAATTGATAACATTTTCAAAGACCCCTTTTTCAAACAAGTTCAAATTCATGGGTACTGGGAGTTAGCACTTCAATATATCTTTTGGGTGGACATGCAATTCAATCCTTAACACCCCACAAAGCATCCTCTCTAACACCTGACAGACACTTACGGGAGAGAGGAAGTTATGTTCAGGATATTGCTATGCCTGTGTTTAGGGATGTGTGTGGACATGGCTTGCTTTGGGACATTAAGGAGGGACCATTCATATTCTTCAACACTTTAGTGTTGAAGAGCAAAGATGTCAACTTGAAGACTAAGGTGCGCCAGACCCAAGCCATGGTTTTTTCAATAACATCATATGCCTGTGAAAACTGGACAGTAAGTAAGGAAGACTGTAGAAGAATTGATGATTTTGAGTTATGGTGTTGGAGGAGAATATTGAAAGTGTCATGAGCTGCCAAAAGAACCAATAGATCTGTTTTGGAAGAAGTGTAGCCCGAGTGCTCCTTGGAGGCCAGGATGGCCAAACTTTGTCTCTCATATGTCAGACATACTGTCAGGAGGGACCAATCACTAGAAAAGGATACCATGTTTGGTAAGGTAAAGGGTCATAGAAAAAGAGGAATACTCCCCAACGAGATGGATTGGCCAAGTGGCAGCATCGATGGACTCAAGCGTGGCAACAGTAGTGAAGTTGGCCCAGGATGGGGCAGTGTTTTGTTCTGCTGTGCATAAGGTCACTATGAGTCAGTACTGACTCAATAGCACCTAACAACAACAACAACAACATTCATATTCTTACACCATGGATGCTTATTGTGTGATCATTTATATTCTACATTCCTCATCACATCTCTTTGCTACCCCATGAATTAGAGATGAGAAATCAAAGGTGTGTTTGGTTATTTTTTAATCTTTTTATTGTGAATTGGATTTATGAAGCAGATTAGCTTTGCATTCAACAGTTCATACACATTTTGTTTCATCTCATTGATTACAGTCCTCATGATGTAATATCACTTATCCCACTTCCTCCTTGTGTTTCCTGTTTTCATTCTTCCTTCTTTCCTAACTCTTCTGAACTTTGTCCTTGGGCAAATGCTGCCCTTATGATCTCAAATGGTTGATTATTCTAAGGTGCACATACCTCACTAGTGTTATTGTTCCCCTGAAAATTGTTTGACTGAAAATTGACTGAAAATGGGGATGAGTTCTGTTTCAGACCTAAAGGGTGATTAAGGGTCACCAATCTTTATCTATCCCGTAAGCCTGGTCTTTGTTAGGATTTTGAGTTCTGTTCCACTTTTTTGCCCCCTCTATCCAGGACCTTCTAATGTGGTCCCTTTCAGAGAAGTTGGTAGTGGTAGCTGGGTACCATCTAGTTTTTCTGGCCTTGGGCATGGAGACTGATGGTCTTGTGGTCCATTAGTCTATTGGATTAATTGTTTCTGTGGGTCTTTGATGTTCTTCAATCTTCTTTCCTCTGAACAAGGAGAGACTAGTAGTGGTACCTTAGATGGTTCTCATGAGCTCTTAAGACCCTAGTTGCTGCTCATCAAAATATGATGTAGAACATTGTCTTTGAAGACTATGTTATGCCAACTGATCTTGGTGTACCCCCAAGGCCCAGTGACTCTTCTCTCAAGACATATGGTTATGTCTAAGAAGTTGAGAAATCAAAGTTTTTATGTGCCCAAGGATCTTTTTTTTTTCTTAAATGTTTTATTGTGAATTATGTGATAGTTTACATAGGAGAACATTAGTTTTACATTCATTCTATCGTAG